ATTTTTAATTATTTTAAGAACTATTTTTTTTCTCATGAGAAACTTGAGGATTGAATTTTTCTCTCTAAGAAAAATAATGTCTGAATTGCATTTTCGAAAGTTAAAGTCTCTTCATTAACAGTATCAAATTCATGAAATACGATTAAGCCTTTGAAGTTAGTTCTATATATATATATATATATATATATATATATATATATATTTGTGTAAGCTATATCCGGTGGATGTGATCCAATGATAACTATCTTGCAAAGAGCAAACTTCGACCCATTAGTCTTCTGGCTTTGATTACGTGGAGATTATCGATCTAGATTCGTATCATGATGAGCTAAATTGTTTTATGCGAGAAGAAAGGAGTGAAATAAACAATGAATACAAGTTTCAAAAGCGTATTTAGAAAAAAAAAGTAAACAATTTTTTCTTTCCTCTTTTAATTAACAAACAAATATTTCTAATTAATTAATAATAATCATAACAAAGTTAATTTATTTTATCTACGTTTCTAATTAACTAATAATACTAAATTAATTTCTTTTCAGTTACACTTTTTTATCTATATTCAAATCTACTTTATCGATATTGCACTTTTATTTCTGAACTATTTTGTTCTTTTTTTAAATTGTACAGTTTTTAATTTGAAAATAGATTTTTTTTTCCTATAACAATCAGTTGCCTCTTCAACTGTTTTAATGAAAAAAGAAGAAGAAGGAGCTTAAAACTGTTTAGTCTCGAATCAAGTCAATAGAGCGTTGCGTTAGTATATTGGAATAACGTTCTCTCTGGTTTGAGTTAATTAGTATTCAGCTTTCAGTGGTAGCAAGGAGTTCATTAATTAAAGTCCAATTACATGGGCGAGATGAGAAGACTCGAGAATCTCGGGGCAGGATCCCTTCCCTGCACATTTTACACTTTGAACGTTTTCTTCCTCATCCTTATTTCCCGTCATCTTCCTTTTCTCTCATCGTAAGAGAAACGAGGAACTTTTTCTCTCTCGCTCTCTTAATTTTGCCTCGCTCTTTCGTTTTACTATTATATTCGCTTTCTTTTTTTTTCTCTCTCTCTCTCAGTCTATATCTCCTTTTTTTCTGCAGCTCTTCAAACCATCAGCTCGACATTTAGTTAGATCACTTAATAGTTACGTAATGACTTTATTTGATCTTCGTTTAATTAATGGGCGGCCTGTTTGATCGCGCCCCTTTACCACGTGGTACTATCGTCGACGTGCGGAATGTTTGGCGTTAATTGTCCGCATGTTCTACTTCAAAATTGAGTGGCATTCATCAATATGTCAAATATATTGCGAGTTAATTCTGCTTTTCCATATATATTATCTATAGATATATATATATATATATTATCGTGTTTTATTCTTATTGACTTTGGCCGTTTGCGGTCAACGTTTTCAAATAATATATACTCAATCATTTAGAATTTTTTTTTTCATTTATGTAAATTTTTGCTTATTTTATTTTATTAACGTGGAAAAAAAATTGTTACTCATTTTCTTTTTTTAGTTAATGATGCTCTGAATAGAAAAAAATTTATTTGATATACAAATATACACTGAAAAAAAATTCTAGTTAGAATAACCAGAATTCTGGTTAGGGTATATTTAACATTTTGATTCTGGTTATTTTAACGAGAATTCTAGTTAATTCAACTAGAATTCAGGTTAACATAACTAGAAAGTAATGTTAAATATAGCCTAACCAGAATTTTTTTTCAGTGTATAATCGGTTTACTTGACTCACGAAAAAAAAATCTTCATCTGAAACAGCGATAAGTTTCACTGGAACAGAGATATTAATTACTAAAATAGAGAAAGTTTTCGCTATTTTATAGAAAAACATCGCTGTTCCAGATAACGATTTTTTTCTTTGCTGTTGTCAAATAAATAAATGATCCATACCAAATAAGACACCATTTTGCATTTATTTCTTCGATTTTTTGAAAAACTTTTTTTTCTTTTAGTATACTAATTTAGAATAGCTTTCATGATTTTTATCAATTTTTTGATTTTCGAAATTTTGATATCAGAAATACTAAATTTAAAAAAAAACTTATTTTAAATTTAGTAAAGTTATATATTAAAATTTGTTTCACGCATTTTATATTTGATATAACTTTACTAAATTTCATCTAATTTTTTTGTTAATGTTTACTATTTCTGATATCAAAATTTTGCTTTGTTGCATTTTATCCTACAATTGTAAAATTTATAAAATTTGATACTTCCTTTCCGTGTAGAAAAATAATTTACTACATTTTTTACTATATATATATACATTTGAATTTTTCATTTACAAAAAAAAGTAAATTATTTTTCCATATTTTTTTTGCACTGCGAATGTTCGAAAAAAAAACGAAAGGTACAAATTTCGTTAAATTAGTCAATTATTGAATTAAATAATGTTAAATTGTTGGAAAAAAGTAAATAAAATATTTTTGGCTACTAACATAACCTCAAAATGCCAAGAGTTTCGTTTGTTTGAGCTGTGTTACTTTTTGAATTTCTAATTACATTCATTTTATGTGACTCATAATCGTTGCACTATTATCACATTCTGCTTTGCTTGAATTCATATTTCATTTATAATTTAAACAGTCTATAATATAAACTATTTAACAACGTCTAAAACACATGGAAAATATCACAAGTTATACCACATCCACTGCGCATCTTTGTTGCGCAATTAGGGATCACCGTCGTCTGCTATTTCTGCACGAAACGAAAATTTCACTTTTTTAAAGAATTAGGAGTTTATTTTATACAACTTCATTTACAATTAAATTTTCTATAAAAAAAAATAATTTTCGAAATGAAAAACAATTTTTGAAAAAAATGAACTTTTTGCAGCAACCGCTTTAATTAGTAAACAGAAAAAAAAATAAAAATTTAATGGTAAGAATTGAATTTCTTTTTTTTGCGAGAGAATTTTTTTGCCGTTTCTTTTGTATGTGAAGCTTATACTAAAAAAGAAAAAAAAAACTTGAGGGGTGGTTTTTGTGGTCGTCACACAAGTATTAAAACCTTTAAGCGAGCCTACTCATACGGGGGACATATCGAGGTGCACGCTTTACGATCGTGAAGCAATAAAGGTCGTTCACAACGCTCGTTGGTTTATGGGCAATGACTGTATTCAGGCCATTAAAATAAACATACACTGGACGGGTAAACCCATACATCTTTTACCTCAATTCACACACTTCCAACTACATTGAATTAATTTTTTTTTAATTTTTTATTATTTTATTCCATATTGTAAAAATTATTTTTTAACCACTACTTTTGTAAAAGAAAAAAAAAAATTTTGTAAATCGAATAATTTAATTCTAAATTGCACAATTTGCTTCAATGAAAGTCTTAAATCTAATCCTTATAATCAATAGACTTGGATTTTCTTCCCCCTAAAAACAATTTTATTTTACTTTAAGCCTAGTCCTAAATTACAATTCCATGTCAATACTAAGCGAGTAATTTCTAATTTCCAATTTTCCATCACAAGAATAATATTTTTTCTTATTTTTTTTCCCGTAAATACTGTACTTAAACTATAAGTAATATTCTTAATAAACGATACATTACAAAAAAAAAGAGAAGAAAAAAAAATAGTGTAGACAAAAGAGAAATATAATTATTTTTTCTCGAGAAAATGAAGGAAGTTGAGAACCCTGAAGCTGTTAAGAATTAGTTAAGCGACTCGATAGTCTGGCTTGTACATGCGATGTTGAAACGATGTTACGAGAAACCGGTCTTCTCTCAGACTCTCGTTTTCCACCCTCCTTCCACTTTTCTCTCTTTCTCTCTCCATCTTTCTCTTTCACCCTTATTGTCTATTTAAGAAAGGTTTTTTCTCCCCTATTTCTTCTTTTTTTTTTTTTTCCTTCCGTTTTCCTTGCTTCAGATTTTCACCGTCTAATCCATTTACCAGATAATGTTGTCCCGACAAGCTCGACGCTTTTATCATCCAGGTCAGAACTAAATTAAAATGCGATACTTTAACGTTATTCATTTTCAACTATTTTCATCCTTCTTCAACAACGACGAGAGAGTAATATTTCATTCAGATAAATTCATATAATAAATATAGCACATTTATATTTTTATCATACATTCACTTGACTATTGTATATATTATATTTAATTATATTATAGATGTCAGGCTGCTTAGTAATCATTTTATCAGAGGGAAATGGGTCTATTAACATTTAATGCTCTTAAGAGAATATAATTTAATTATTTTCAATTATTGCGCTTATACAAAAATAATAATCATACTAATAATAAAAATAATAATCTCTCTAAATCTGAATTAGTGAAAAGTGAGCTAATAATTAAAATTAGTAAATATTTTCATTAATTTTTATAGTCACTTTTTACTAAAACTTTAGTAAAAAAAATTGAAAACTACTAAATCAAATAGTAATATTTTACTAACAATTAGTAAAAATTTTTACTAATATGAATTAGTAGATCACTTTTTACTAATTCAAATTTAGAGAGATAATAACAATAATAATTATTATTATTATTATTATATGTGTATTGTAAATATCTAGTTCTTCAAAAATTTATTGAAATAATTTTTTAAAATATTTTTTATGGAGTGAAAAACCATTCATTTACTTTGAGGTTATGTTACGGTTACCATATTTTCCTTAATTTAATAAAAATAGCTTCTCTTTTTGAATACTATTATTCATAATAAAAAATATTTGTTGCAGAATCTTATTTTTTTTTATAAAATACGCAATTAGTCATATGCAAAAAATCTTTAATAAATGTAAAGTTGTTTTTGATTCTTTGCATTCTTCTGGCATTACTTAACTATATATATATACATACATAATTCAGAAAAATATAATTATTATTCACGTCTTATTAATTTAATTAATTTAAAATTACGCACTTTTTTGTAAACAAATATATATATATATATATATAATTATCTCAATTCATATGAATAATATATTTCATTTTTATTGTTTTTTATTTGCAGTATTACGAGATGGCGTACGGTCTCAATGTGGAAATGCACAAACACGTAAGTAAATTCAAATGAATAATAATTAAACAATTTTTTTTTGATAAAATGAGATATTATTTTTTTTTTGTTTGAAATTGTTTCTTGTACAAGTAAAAAATTCATTTTTTTTTTTAACGTCGTTGAAGTTTATGTTTATTATGAACTATGGGGGGGGGGGAGGAAATATTTTTCATTTGAAAAATAATAATTTAAAAAATTTTACATCAAAAAATGTTACAACAATTTTTTTTCTTAAACAAAGAAATATAAATAATAATTTACTCACAGAAAAATTTTAAGGTAGTAAAATATAAAATACACTGAAAAAAAGTTATTTGAATTAAATACACTGGATTACTTGATTTTTATTAAATATAAATATTTACTTGAACCAGTATAGTTTTTATTTGAATTAAATAAATTGTATTTGAACCAATATTTCTGTATTTGAAATAAATACCATGTAATTGGCTCAAATAATAATTATTTGATACAAATAAATATTTATTTTATAATAGTCAAGTAATCGAGTATTTCCCACTTGGAAAGATTCCCCGGAAAGTGCCCCCTGGAGGTTCTATCAGGATTCCGATCAATTTCCGATGGGATTCCGACGGAATTCCAATTAATTTTTTCAAAATTTTTAGAGTCCTAATTCCGTCGGAACTCCGTCGGAATCCCATCGGAAATTCTTTGGAACTCCGATGGAATTCCGACGGAATTACGTTGGAAGTTCCGGCGGAATTCTGATAGAACCTCCAGGGGGCATTTTCTGGGGAATATCTTTCCAAGTGGGTTGAATCAAATAAATTTTTTTTTCTATGTATTCTCTTTATTTATCAAAGTAGTAAAATTTAGCTAATTTAAATTATTTAAAATTTTTACTAATTTAAATTTAGAGAGTAATTTAATACCAAATAAGATTAAATTTACCAAAAAATGTATTAAAATTGCAGAAACTTAACAAATTACTGTGCCCAGAAAGATTTTTTTTTTCTTAATCGTTGATTATAAATGTGAACTTCGGCGACGCTTTTTTTATTATTAAAGCTAAAGAAAATGTTTATTTGAAACAAATAACTTATCAAAAATTAACTACTGGCACCAGTACTTTACCAATAGTGAAATCTGTCAATTTTTAATAGGGTAAATAATATTCAGTTACGTGATATTTTTTTTATCAAATTTAATTATTTAGTTAGTTTACTTAATATAAATTTAGTTCGAATAAAATATTTTCTCTGGATGCATGAAAAATGATTTTGTTTTTTTTTATTATTATTTTTCATGACTATAATTTGAATGAAGGGGAACATACATATATATAATTTGTAAATCACGCTCTTAATTCGTTATTAAAAGGAAGTAGCGTTTTGCTTTTTGGATTGGGGAGAACGATTTTACCCTCGGGTAGCGAACTCTATTAAATAAATATGTAAACAAGGTAATAACATGCAAATAGCGCCGCGGGATTTTAATTTAAGTTACTTTTGGGTGTGTTGTTAATACGCTTTCACGACACTACAAATACATTCACTCACGTGTGAGTATTTTCTTTTTCCTTTTTTTTTTTTAAATCTTTTCTCTATTCGGTTGCACTTCTCTTTTTACGGCTTATATATAAAAAGAATCGTCGTCGTCGTCGTCGTCGTTGGCCATTCAGATTTGAATTCTATTTAATTAAACGGCTGCGATAAACCGCTTGGCGGATGCATTCCCTTCGCTCGTCGAAGCGAGACGATCAACGAACATTCTTCTTTGTAATGCTCACACACACATATCCACACAAATCGGTGAAATTAAAGCGCGCGCGAAGGAAATTTCATTCACTTCGTGCCTCTGGAGATTTATAGCCATTCGGGTCGATCAATAATTTGAATTGGTAATTATACCGCATGTATAATAATTTTTAACCAACACTCACGCGCGCGCACGCTCGGTACAATTTTGAATTATTAATAAATATATGTGATATAGTTTTTTTTTTTTTTCATCTCTTGTGTGCGTATAATGATCAAGTGTTTATGGACATGAGTTTTCTTCTTTTTAACTTTGAAGAAAAAAGAAACCGTGTAACTGGGTGCAAATAAGTATGAGCAAAAAATAAGAGAATATTGACTTGTAATTAATTAAGCCGATGATAAATCGTTTCTTTTCGCGATCTAATTGGATTTCTTGTATTTTTTTTTTTTTTTTTTTTTTTTTTTTTTTTTGCTTGTGTGATAATTAGCAAAAGTCAGTGTTTTTCATTATTGGGATTTTTAATAACACTTCTTTTTCCACTTCCACTTTCATTTCCATTTCCATTCCCACTTCCATTTCCACTTCTCCTTTTTCTAATTTCCATTAATACTATACCATTTCCACTTCCACTGTTTCCAATTTACATTCTCAATTCCACTTTCATTTCCAACTTCCACTTTTACCAATTTCGATTTCCACTTCCATTTTAAATTTCAACTCCTGTAATTTTGTTGATAATTTCTGATGATTGATTAATTTTAAAATTTGCGCCAAAATAATTTCATGTCGATTGTTTGTTCGGCTTAATGAAATTCGGTGTTTTAAAAATTCTATCAAATAACAATTCGTGTACCAAATTTTTGTGTGACAAAATTTTTTTTACAAAATTATTCTTTAACCGATTTTTGATTTAAAAAATTCTAATTTAACCAATTATTATTAATTTAGCAGAATTCTCATTCCACAGAATTCAAGTCGATTAAAAGTTTTAAATGTCATAATTTTTAATTTAATAGAATTTTTATTTGTCCGAATTTTTATTTCCACGAATTGTTATTTGATAGAATTCTTAAAATGCCGAATTTCCATTAGTCCGAATCTGTAAGTGTCCGAAAAAAGAACAACGACAAAAAAAATTGTAGCGCGAATTTTAAATTTAACCAATCAGAAATTATTAAGAAAATTGCGAAAGTGGAAATGGAAGTGAAAATCGAAATTAATAAAAGTGGAAGTTGGAAATGAAAGTGGAAATGAAATTAGAAAAAGTGGAAGTGCAAATAGAAATTGGTAAAAGTGGAAGTTGAAAATAAAAGTGAACATGGAAATTGGAAAAAGTGTAAGTGGAAATGAAAGTAGGAATGAAATTGGTAATCGAATTAAGTTGAAAATGGAATTAGAATTAAAAATTAGAAAAAGTGGAAGTGGAAATAGAAGCGGGAGTGGAAATGGAACTGGGAATAAAATTGGTAAAAGAGTTAAATTGGAAATGGAAAATAGAAGAATTAAAGCGGTAATGAAATTCGAAAAAGTAAGAGTGGAAATTAGAAAAAATTAAAGTAAATTTAGAAATGAAAATTTGTAAAAAGTGGAAGTTAGTTACAGTGGAAGTGAAATTGAAGTGGGAATGAAAATGGATTTTCATATACGGAAAATTGAATTTTCTAAAAAATTAAAATGAAACATATTCCTGAGAAAAAAAAAGAATTTTAATCCCTCATCTAATGGCGCCAACTCAGCGAGCCTGTTTATTGAGTAAACAGAGAAAACGAGAGAGAGTGAGAGAGAGAAAAAGATAGAGAAAACGAAGGAAATTGGAGAGCTTTGCTTAGTACTAAAAGTGTCCTTTTTCTTTTCTTCTTTCTCCAGACTTTCATTCCCTTGGAAGAAAGTTATATATATACAAAAATACACAGGGAGAATAACGAGTCCCAGTGGATGGCTAAAAATTATAAAAGCAATTTGGATAGCTTGCGCCGTCTCTTCTTGTCTGGCAAACCTCTTTTGCGCGATGTGCATCTGAGGCCCCAAAGATTGCCAGTGTTCCACTCTCTATCTCTCTCTCTCCGTATTGCTCCCCATACATATTTATCGTTAGGCTTGAAGAGCCGATTTGAATTTCTCGCCAAGCCAAAAGCAAAGGCAAGCCACGTGGACGCTAATCGGTATTCCCAACGCGAAGGGTAGACACTCCCCTGGCATGGCTCTTTTATTTACTTCTTCTTTTTTTTTTCTTTCTTTTTTTTTTTTTTTTTTGCCTTCGCGCTCCCCTTTTTCGTAGTCGTCGTAGTCGTCGACGCTCTGGGCAAAGAGACGGTCGAAAGGACTTAATGGAATAATTCAGGGGACAAAAAGAGGAGTGTCACATGGAAAAAGAGAAGAAGAAAACTCCAAGTTAGAGAGAGAGCATAAAATGCTGCTACAATATGGTAACTAGGGTGAAAAGTGTGACGGTAAATTTATTTCCCAAAGAAAGCATTTTCTCTTGTTTGGATAATGAATTACTTTGAATTGACTTTGACAGTTCCCTTTAGAATTTCCAAGTAAATTATAATGTGATGAGAGAATATGTTTTGCTTTGCTTGATAATATTATTAGGAATTGTTTGTTGCTGTTTTGAAAATGGTAATTTCTTACCTTTTTTAAATTAATTTTTGTGAATTATTTATTATATTATTTTTTTATTTTATTTACTATATTAGTTATTATATTATTTATTACTATTATTTAGAATTTAGAATTTAGAATTTTCTAATTCCTATTTTTACTTTCAACCTCCCCATTTTCTTTTTCTTCTTTCTATTTTTTTAAATTTCGGTTTGGCACTGTTCTTTTTGATTTTCTCAATTCGACATTCAATTTTCGAATTTTAAATTTATAATTCCAATTCTTCAGATTTGAATTTCTATTTTCTAATTTCTATTTTTTACATTTCTTTTTAAACTTTTTACTTCCTAATTCCTAATTGCTATGGTTGCTATGGAAAAGGTTACTATGGAAACGGTTGCAATACTGTTTCCTTATAGTAACAGTTTTTCTTATAGTAACAGTTGCCATATAGTAACAGTTGCCATACTAACAGTTGCCATATAGTAACAGTTGCCATAGTAACAGTTGTCATATACTAACAGATACCGTAGTAACAGTTGCCATATAGTAACAGTTGCCATAGTAACAGTTGTCATATACTAACAGTTACCGTAGTAACAGTTGCCATATAGTAACAGTTGCCATAGTAACAGTTGCCATAGTAACAGTTGTCATATAGTAACAGTTGC